TTGTTTTTAACTTTATCTCATGACTTTAGTTCAAACACCTCTCCCCCATTAATTTGTTTTCCTGTATCTTTACATGTTTTGATGTTTTGACCTCTTTGGGGGAGGTACTTGCTGGCTGAGGATAGATTACCTCTTTCTAGATAGACCGTAAATAACTTGTCAGTGAGCCCACCTTCCCCTCCCACCCACACCATGGTGATAGGAAGATTTTTATATAAGAATTCCGTTTATTTATTCAGGGTAGAGGTGTTTAGATTTTGTATTTATTTTATTGCAGTATAGTTAACACAGTTATATCAGCTTCACATGTGCAGTATAGTGATTCAACATTCTGTATATTAGTGCTCATCATGATGAGTGTACTCTTTAATCCCCATCACCTGTTTGCCTTTTTTTTTTAAAGTTTATTTATTTATTTTGAGAGTGCGTGCAGAGGGTGGGATGAGAGAAGGCACCATGCTTGATCTCATGAACCCACGAATGAGATCATGACCTGAGTTGAAATCAAGAGTCTGATGCTTAACCCAGGCACCCCAACCCATCACCTATTTCATCCATCCCCCGCTCACTTCCGGTTTGATAACCACCAGGCTGTTCTCTGTAGTTCAGTCTATTTCATGGTTTGTCTCTCTTTTTTTTTATTCTTTTGTTCATTTGTTTTCTTAAATTCCACATGAGTGAAATCATGGAATTTGCCTTTCTCTGACTGCCATTTAGCATTGTACTCTCTAGCTCCATCCATGTTATTGCAAATAAGTAATAATAAATAAAGGAATGCAAAGATTTCATTCGTTTTTAATGGCTGAATAATACTACGTGTGTGTCTGTGTCTGTGTGTGTATATACCATGTCTTTATTCATTTATCTATGGATACTTGGGCTACTTCTATAATTTCGCTATTGTAAATAATGGTGGAACATGGGTGAATATAGCCTTTCAAATTAGTGTTTTTGTATCCTTTATAAACACCCAGTAGTGTGCTTTACTGAATAATAAGGTAGTTTTATTTTTAACTTTTTGAGGAACCTCTATACTGTTATCTACAATGGCTGCATCAGTTTGTACTCCCACCAACAGTGCAGGAGGGTTCCCCTTTCTCCACATCCTCACCCACATTGGGTGCTTTTTGTGTTTTTGATTTTAGCCATTTTGACAGGTGTAAGGTAATATCTCCTTGTAGTTTTGATTTGCATTTCCCTGATGATGAGTGATGTTGAGCATCTTTTCACATGTTTGTTGGCCATCTGTATGTCTTCTTTGGAGACATGTCTATTCATGTCATCTGCCCATCTTTTAATTGGATTGTTTGTTTTTTGAGTATTAAGTTTTATCAGTTCTTTATATATTTTGGACACTAACCCTTTATTGGATATGTCATTTGCCAATATCTTTTCCCATTCATTAGGTTGCCTTTGAGTTTTGTTGATTGTTTCCTTCACTATGCAGAAGTTTTTTTATTTTAATGTAGTCGCAGTTGTTTATTTTTCCTTTTGTTTCCCTTCCCTGAGTATAGTGATTTATGACAAATCATATGGCCATACTGAGGAGATACTATGGCCAGTGTCGGAGACATTACTGCCTGTGCTCCCTTCTAGGATTTTGATGATTTTAGGTCTCACATTAGAATTTATTTTTGTGTTTGGTGTAAGAAAGTTGTCCAGTGTCATTCTTTTGTATGTGGCTGTCCAGTTCTTCCAACACCATTTGTTGAAGAGACTTTTTCCCATTGGATCTTTATTCTTCCTTTGTCAACGATTAAATGACCGTATAATTATGGGTTTATTTCTGGGTTTTCTGTTCTGTTCCATTGACCCATATGTCTGTTTTTGTGTCAGCACCATACTAGGTGTTTTTCGGTTTTTGTTTTTATTTTTTGATTTGAGAGAGAGTGCAAGCAGGAGAAAGGAGTAGAGGGAGAGACAGCAGATCTTAGGCAGGCTCCATGCTCAGCACAGAGCCTGATGCTGGGCTTGATCCCACGACCCTGGGATCATGACCTAAACTGAAATTAAGAGTTGAACGTGCAACTCACTGAGCCACCCAAGTGCCCCAGTATCATACTGCTTTAATTATTATCGTTTTTTGTGGTATAACTTGAAATCTGGAATTGTGATACTTCCAGCTTTGTTTTTCTTTTTTCAACATTGCTTTGGCTACTCGAGGTCTTTTTTTGGTTCCATAGAAATTTTAAGATTTTTTTTTCTAGTTCTATGAAAAATGCTGTTGGTATTTTGATAGGGATTGTGTTGAATCTGTAGATTGCTTTGGATAGTCTAGACGTTTTAACAGTATTTGTTCTTCTAATTCATGAGCATGGAATGTCTTTCTGTCTTTGTGTCTTGAATTTTTTTCATCAGTGTTTTATAGTTTTCAGAGTACAGGTCTTTCACCTCTTTGGTTAAGTTTATTCCTGGATAATTTTATTGTTTTTGGTGCAACTGTAAATGAGATTATTTTCTTTAGTGTATAGAAATGCAATAACAACAAAAAGAAATGCAACAGAGTTCTGTACATTGATTTTGTATCCTATGACTTTACTGAATTCATTTATCACTAACAGTTATTTGGTGGAGTCTTTCAAGTTTTCTGTGTATAGTATGTCATCTACAAATAATGAGAGTTTGACTTCTTCCTTGCCATTTGGATGCCTTTTTTTTTTTTTTAACATTTATTTATTTTTGAGACAGAGAGAGACAGAGCATGAACGGGGGAGGGTCAGAGAGAGGGAGACACAGAATCTGAAACAGGCTCCAGGCTCTGAGCTGTCAGCACAGAGCCCGACGCGGGGCTCAAACCCACGGACCGTGAGATCATGACCTGAGCCGAAGTCGGCTGCTTAACCGACTGAGCCACCCAGGCGCCCCCATTTGGATGCCTTTTATTTATTTGTCTAATTGCTGTAGCTAGGGCTTCCAGTGCTAATTTGAATAAAAGTGTTGAGAGTGAACATCCTTGTCTCGTTCTTGACCTCGGGAACAGCTCTGTTTTTCACCATTGAGTGTGTTAGCTGTGGGTTTTTCACATAAGGCCATTATTACTGAGATATGTTTCATCTAGACCTACTTTACAAAGGGTTTTTTATCATAACAAATCCTAACTTTTTATCAATCAGTTCTGAATTTGAACTGGATTACCATGAAATCCAAGAAATTACCATGGCAGTATCCTATTTTCATGTTAATCATATTAAGTACCATCTTCTATACTATATTCAAAACCTAGGCTTTACCTTTAACTTCTTGCATGCATTTTGACACATTCAAATTTGACCTAGTTTAGTATATCCACATAATGTGCAAAAACCTTACTTTTTAATTAAAAGGCATTTTTCCCCACCCAGGTTATATACATTGTCATATGCTTAATGAAAATTTGTAGATCTTGTTTACAATTATAAGTCTCAGGTTGCTGTACTCAAAGGATGTCCTACCTCTTTGAGATAGTAAGTTCTCTTATGTGTGATGTATAAGCAGTGGGAGTATTTTTAGATTTCCTTATGTTTCCTGTTACTATTTCAGTATCCATTGCATGCCACATTTTCTTCTATAATTATGTAGTGCTACATACAATCTTATATTTTGATTTGCTGTGAAAGAATAGTCTCAGTTTATTCTCCCAAGTATGATAGACCTTAACTTTAGTTTTTGTTTTACCTAATGTTGCCTGTAAGAAAGTAAATGTCTTTAAATTTGTCAGTGACTATTGAGGAAGAAAAGCATTTGTGTCCAAATGAATTAATTTATGTAAAGTATATCGTGTTTCAGCTCTGATTCTTATGTCTAGACTGGTTTACCCTTACATCTTTTTCTGTCCTCCTAAACTCTTTGTTCTCATATTATGTCAGATGTTATTATGTCTTTGAAACTTTTCATTTGCTGTTGTATTCATTATTTACAGTACTTTTGGTCAGATATTATACCTCTAATGGCAGTGATTGTTAATATTTTTTCGTTTTGTCTATAGTCTACCTTGTATGTTAGCTTGGTAGTTTGAAACCTTTATATATATACGTATATATTTTATTTATATGTACATATACATGTTTGTTTGTTTATTTATTTATTTATTTATTTATTTATTTATTTATTTATTATTTACTTATTTATTTTGAGAGAGAGAGCAACCATGAGCCAGGGAGGTACAGAGAGAGAGGGAGAGAATCCCCAGTAGGCTTCATGCTGTCAGCGTGGAGCCTGATACGGGCTGGAACTCAGCGACTCGTGAGATTGTGACCTGAGCCAAAGTCGGACGCTTAACTGACTGAGCCACCCAGGCGCTCCTGATAGTCATATTTTCTAACGTACAGTTTTCCTTTTGTCAGATTGCATGGTTTAGTTCTGAATCATCCACTAGACTTGAGTTACATCTATTTTGCATCTTATACATCTGTTCTCTTTTTTATTTTCTTTGTTCTTTGAAATACTAAATAATGCATTTGTTAGTGAATTATTAACAGGTAGTGGAACTTACCCCATTTTATATATATAGGTTCACTAGATTCTTCTCTTTATTCATGTGTATAATTTCCCCCATTTTCAAGTTTCTTCTGTTTAATACTTAACTGTTTTCTGTTGAACTGACTATATAAGTTATCGCTAGGATTCTGAAGAAATTAATGGAGCAAATCAATAACAGGCACAATACTATGAAGTCCCTGCTTTTCACTAAGTGACGTACTTATTCAATGACTTGCTAGAACAACTCTTGGGAACACAAGAATGATATTTTTAAAAGTCTAATGTAGACCCAGGCAAGGAGTAAAAGAAAACATCTATTTCATTGAACGAAATTGGAAGGAAAGTTAATTTTCATATTAGTAAATAACAGATTTCACAGTATAGTCCAAAAAGAATAGTTCTGATCTAATCTTTGAAATTAAACATGAATAGCTGCAAATGTTATTAACCTTGATAATTCTCACAGTAACTTGAGTTATAGTATGGTTTTTGAAGCAATAGATGAAATTAAGCTTCATTAACTAATTTTAAACTTTTTTTAGGTAAATGAATTGGTGGATGCCAGAGATGTCGGCCTTGGTGCTTGGTTTGAAGCCCGTATACGTAGTGTTACTAGAGCTTCTGATGGACATTCACGTGGCAAAACTCCACTGAAGAATGGCAGTTCTTGTAAAAGGACTAATGGAAATGTAAATCATAATTCCAAAGAGAACACAAATAAATTGGACAGTGTACCCTCTACGTCTAATTCAGACTCTGTTGCTGCTGATGAAGACGTTATTTATCATATCGAGTATGATGAGTAAGTGCTCATGCTATTGAGGACTTCGTTCATATTTTTGTTTATAGAAGCAAAGCCTTCCATCCAAGATTGTTTTCAAATAATAGTCTCTCTGAAGAAATCTTTTAGGGGTCATGTTCAGTCTGTTATCCTTTGTTTAATGGTTGTAATAAGGGCTTCTTAATGCTTAGTCATCTCTGGCTCCTAAGTGGTTTGTTGTTTTTGGTATCTTAATACCTGGCTTAATTTAGCATGTAATAGTTTCTCTTTGTCTCTTCCTCTGTGATATTAGTGGTTTTTTTTTTTTTTA